CGCTCATCCATCGGATGCGAGATCGCAGCTGACTTACATAAGTGTCCAAGGCTGCTAGCACTGAGCCCTAACGTGTTGGGTAGGGAATGAACGGCCCTTGTCAACCTCATTAGCAGGGGAAGAAATGGCCTGAGGTATTAAGAGTGTCAGTTATAAAGATTGCCTTCGAAGTTCACTCCCTACGCGGCATGAAGGGAGGCGAGGGGTTGACCTGGCTGTATTCACAAGTTGTTCCCTAGTGAGTGTGCGCAAGTCTGGGCCTGTGGGGATGCTGCTGAGAGAAATGTGACCGACAGGCCTGAAATAATTTGTGATTTTACTGGTTTTTCGGAGCCACCTTCAAAGCTGAGACTGGGGAGGCAAAGATTAGGAAAACCATTCGTGCTTAGCGTTAGGGTTAACCTGGTTTCCATATCACGAGGCACTTGGAGAAGAGAGCCTGGGGTGTGGTGCCAGGGACCTGTTTTCTCATGCCTCTTTGGCCACTTGGATTATTGGAAGGAATACCGAGTTTGGGCAAATCCCTGAGAGAGCTGGAGTGTGCAAACACCATGTAGCCCAGGCTGAAATCATGGTAGCACAGGCTGGCCTTGAAATCACGAGCCTCCTGACTCAGCCTCCCAAGAACTAGGATTAAAACAGTAGGCTGCTGTATCCAGTGGCCATCCATTTTTTTAAAAAAGAATTTTACCAGCTTATTCCTTTGAAACTGGTGGATGCTGCAGAGAGACGATTTAGGTGTTATTATTAAGGTGGCCGGTGGGGTTCTTATCTGTTGGGTTTATGTGGTTCTGTCACTTTGCCTCTGAAAACACCTTAGTCAGTCATTCAGTGGGAGGGTGGAACCTTGGAGATGTAGTATGTGTGTGGGACTAGGGGGCATTTATTTAATAAAGACTAGATTGACCTGCTGGGACGAAGCTGTGTGTACTTGTCTGGAGCCCCGTGGCCTTCCTTCCTTTCACCATCTGGGCCTGTATTCTGCCTCCCTCTCCAGATCTGAAGCTAAGATGTGAGTTAGTCCTGTCTGGTTGGTTAGTCTTGCTACTTCATGCTGACTTGGCAGAGGGAGCCCTCGAAAAAGTGTACTGATAATGGAACTTCACTCTTCGGCTTTAGACTGCTCAGTGCTTTTATACATTTAATTTGTGTGGGATTTTCTTGTTTTTGTTCTTTTGTTTTGTTTTGCTTCAAAAAAAATGTATCCACTCATTGTATGTGTGTGCTGTGCAGGCCCATACATGTTATAGCCATTTAAAGAGCATAGGAGTTAGTTCTTGCCTTCTGCCTTGTTGAGGTGTGACCTATTTCTGCTGCTGATCCGTGTATTCCAGGCTAGCTGGGCCTTGCGTCTCTGGGTCACTCTTGTCCCTGCTCCCCATTTTGTTATAGGAGTACAGGGATTAAGGTGTGGGTTGCCACATTTGGCTTTTTCCATGTTCTGAGATCAAATGCTGGGTAGACAGGCTTTCATAGCTAATGCTTCAGTGCACTAACCCCTCTTAGCCTTTTTTCTTTGGAGTTTTGGACGATAAGCCAAAACTCACTTTGTAGCCCAGACTAGCTGGCCTATAACTCAAAATGATGCTCCTGCCTCAGCTTCCTGAGTACTGGTGTCATAGGTATGAGCCACCACATCCAGCTCTCAAAACTCATTCATCCATTCATTCATTTCTTTTATTTCTTGAAGTGTCTCACTATGTAGCTCTTGCTAGCCTGGAAGTCACTATGAAGTCCAGGATGGCCTCCAACTCACCAGGGTCCATTTGCCTTTTCCTCCTAAGTACTGGAATTAAAGAGGTGTGTTACAAAAGACACAAATCCAAACTCTAAACCCAAATAACAAGGTGACATGGTATAACGTAGTTTGGGGATCCTACAAAGAAAGTGGCATCCATTTTTAAAGTCCTTTAATGTTGAGTGGAAAAGGTCAAACCCTAGAACCCTGGCTGCCTCCTGTTAACACATGGATATGGGAGGAACTTCCTGGCATCTGCAGGGACTCTTCACCCTTTCAGTTTCAGTGATGGGGTATTGACTGTAGTCTTTATTCTCAGGCAGGTCACCTTCTTCTATGTGTGTGGCCTCGTAGAAAATGACTCCTGTTCTGAGGTCAAGGTGTTCTCACTGTGGTCCGCTGATGGCAGGTGGACCAGGACAGTGAATACACATGTATTCTGTTCAGAAGATGGCTATGGTCATGTCAAGCTACTCCTTGACCTCTATGAAACTTACAGACCTTTTTTATATTAGTATTAAAGTCCATTATATCTTACTAAATGTGTTTCAAGTCTTGCTTGAAGTCCTAACCTTTGGACAGAGATTGTAATAACAGACAAATATCTGTCAAGCTGTGGATTCTTAGTGATGCTTCTACTACAGTGGCCACAGATCTTACCAGGGCATCTCCTCAGAGGCGAATCTTTGAAAATTATGAACATTAGTATGACACTGCCTTCTTACAGTCTTAAATGGCTCTTTACATGTCTGTGTACAGGGAGGCATGCACGTATGTGGGGGTTAGAGGATGATGTCTATTGCCACCTGTGTGTTGTCCTTTGTTTTTTGTTGTTTGTTTTGTTTTGGTTGTTGTTTGTGTATTTTTTGAGTTAGGGCCTGTCTGTCGTGGAGCTTGCCAAGTAGGCCATGACTTGGCAAGGTTCAGCGAGCCTCAGGAATCAGCATGTTTCCTCTTCCCCAGCTCTGAGATATAAGCATATCCAGCATGCCCTGCCCAGCTATAAGCACATACTAGCATGCCTCACTTTTATATTTACTGGTCCTAGAGGTCAAACTCAAGCTTTTATGCTTGTAAAGCCAATACTTTCCTGACAGAGCCATTTCCCTAACCCAAGATGTTCTTAAAAGTGAGATGATAAGGCCTTTGAGGTGGCTTGGCAGGTGAAAGCGCTTGCCAAGCAGGCTGAGGACCCAGGCAGAAACAGAGAACTGACTCCTGCAGTTGTCCTCTAACCTCTGCCCATGTGCTTGTATGCATGCACGAACAGGTACACTCACCCAGCCTCTGAGTAATAAAACTGAGAGGCTCTGGCTGGTTTAGGTTTGATATTACAGTCTTTCCGTGATGAAACATGTCTCTGCATTTGGAATGTTCCTCAGCTCTGTTGTGACATTTACTGGTTTTGTGTGAAGTCCTAGCATACACTAAGTAGTTGGTACACTGAAGTGACTTTTAAAGCACTCAGCCGTTAGAGTGTACAGTATTTTGAAAATGCTTTCCAGTTGCCCTCATAATGAATATGCCTTTTTGAGAGAGCAGAAGAGATGGCTCCACAAGTAAGAGCATTTGTTGCTCTTCATAGGACCGGAGTTCTAATCCCAGAACCCACATGGAAGCTCACAACTGTCTATAACTCCAGTTCAGGGGATCTGACACCTTCTTTGGCTTCTCAAGGCACTAGGCACACACAGTACACAGACCCACACATATATAATAAAACTAAATCTGAAAAAGTTAGGAAGAATATGACTTGTGAACCTCAGCTTGCCCATCAGTTCTGTACTTCACGTGGGTGTCACTAACCCCAGGACCCCGGCGTTAGAGTCAGCCTTGGCATAGAGTGGGTGGTCTGTAAGAAACCATGGGGTGGGGCAGGTGTTACTCTCAACTCCAAGAAGGTAACTGCAGTTTAAAGATGATAGGAGCTGAACAAGGGCAGTCAGCCAGTAACAGGTGAGGGTCTCCCAGGCCTCTTCTTTCGACGCACCGTGCTGGATGAGGCACTCATCCTAGGCTGGATGTGCTTTGTGCTTGAGGTTCCTGATGACCACGGATTGTTCTGCTTTTTAAATGCTGCTGCTTTATCCATTCTTAAAAGTAACAGAAACAAATGGAGTATTTCCTAAGGGGATTAACAATGTCATGGCTTGGGAGCCAACAGCTGAGATTCAACGGTGTCTATAAGAAAAGGACTTTTACCTGGTGCAGTGGAGCACACCTTTGATCCCAGCACTCAGGAGGCAGAGGCAAGGGGATCTCTGAGTTCAAGACCAGCCTGGTCTTTTCTTTCTGACTGTGTAGCCTCAGAATAGCTGACTTCCTGCATCAGCCTCCCAAATGCTGGGCTCGCAGGTATGCATTGCCATAACCTGGCTCATGGTAACTTTTTAAAATTAACATGTGGGCTTAAATATGAACTCCCTGTGTGGTTTCTGGAAAACCTAAACTTTAAGGCTGCTTTACGTTTTACATGATGATATTTTATTTCCATGAATAGAAAATGCTATCATGAAGGTACTATTAATTCTGTTAGTGTGATTGACTTTTACTCTTTTTAAAAATGTTGTCCTTTCATTTTTACAGCTGACTCCTGAGTTCTCACAGCGTTTAACCAATAAGATTCGAGAGCTCCTTCAGCAAATGGAAAGAGGCCTAAAGTCAGCAGATCCCCAGGATGGCAGTGGATACACTGGCTGGACAGGTAGGGAGAGAGTGCTGACTGAGCTAGCATGCACACTGGTGAGAGCCAAAGTAGGACCTTCCCACAGCAGTTAGGCATGGGCACAGCCTACAGGCCCTCCTGTGTGTGTCCTGGGAGTGCAGGGCTCCCCACCCCACAGTCACCTTTCAGGGTGCGTGTTGTTTAGGGAGGGTAAGCACACAGTGGGTATTCATGCCTGGCATTGGCGTATTTACTGATCTTTTTTTTTTTTTTTTTTTTTTTTTTTTTGTGACAGGGGTTTTCTTTGT